GCAGCTTGTGGTAATTGCGAAGGTAAACCCAGCTCCGTTGGTAGTATTGGATCATGACCATATAGGAGTTTATATGGTGAAGCACCAATAGAACTCTGCACCCCTGTTACATATGCATACTGAAGAAATGGCAAATAACCATCTCAATCCGAATGCTAAAAGTTCACATACTTCGCAATCATCCCCTTGAATGTCCGAACGAGCCGTTCCACCAGACCATCTGATTATGGATGATAAGCACTTTTGAAAGTGTGGCATATCCCCAACTGAGACATCAAAACATGAAATGCCTCAACCATAAATGTGGGACCATTATTCGAAAGAATCTGCTTTGGACAACAAATGCTGGAACACCACTTGATTTAGGAGGAAGTATCCAATAGCAGTTGCAGAGGTGATAGCAAGAGCACCAACTTCCACCTAATGAGTCAAGTAGTCAAAAGCAATAATAACATACTCATTGCCAGCAATTGACCGTGAAAAAGGTCTCATAAGATCAAAAACCACCAACTCAAACGGACGGGAAATTGCAATTGACTCCAACCATCCTTCTGCAACCTGAGGGGGAGTATTACGAGCTTGGCACTAAACGCAGCTACACACATACCGGATAATATCACGTCACATCTCCGGCCAATAAAAAGACCTGCGCAGCTTCTCAGTTACACAACGATGTCCTATATGCCCACATAGAACAGGAGAATCATGGTAGGCATGGAGAAACCGCAGAATAAAAATAGAAGGGACCACCAGTCGTAATTGATCATCAGGATCCATCCCCACAAAATAAAGAAGACCATTTTCAAGGCAATATTGAGAATGTAAATGCCGGAAAGACAAGTCATTAACAAGTGATGCAAGATTCTCAAACCCATCTCAAAGCTTTCGAATCCATGGCTCAATCTTTTGAGCCTCGCGAACCTCATCAAGAGAAGGTAGATCTTGCTCTGCGCCTTGTGGACACTGAACGTCAAGTATATAGCAACTGCCGACGGCACATAATCCTCGTCTAGAAAATCCACAGAGGTTGGAACAATAGACTCATCAGAAACATGAGAAAAGAATGGAGAAGGAAGAGGAGCTCAAGAAAGGGCATCAACATTAGCCATAGAACTCCTTGGGTGATGAACAACATCAAAATCATATATCTGAAGCTTCAAAGCCTATCGAGCAGTACGACCAACCAATTTCTTCCACTTCAATAATGAAGTAACAACAGTATGATCACCTTCAAGTAACGTTCGAGAACCATGTAGATATGCATGAAGTTTCTTGAAACCCCAAACTGTTGTTAAACACTCCTTCTCTGTTGTGGAGAAGTTCATTTCCGCTGGTTAAAATGTACGGCTTATATATGCAATGGGATGGTGTTGACCAGGCACACTCGAGCTCTTTTGCATCAACACACCTCCAAGACTAATGTCAGAAGCATCCACACGCAAAATAAAAGGTCAAGTGTAGTCAGGATATGCCAAAACCGGAGGAGTTGTCAACAGCTCTTTGAAATCCCCGAACGCCCGCTCACAATCTGGAGACCAAATGAAAGATGATGTTGATGACTTCAACAATGCTTGCAATGGTGCAGTGCGATCAGAAAGATGATACACAAAACGACCGAGATACTGCACCTTGCCCAAGAAGCATTACACATCATTCACACACTTCGGAGTAGGAAACTTTAGAATAGCCATAAGTTTGTCAGGATCAACTTGCAAACCCTCACGAGAAATACGTTACCCAAGATAAGTTGTATCCTTGAACCCAAACACGCACTTCGACCGCTTCAGCTTTAAACTAACGTCGCGTAGCCAATCCAACACTTTACACACATCACAAATGTGCTCCTCTTACGTCCCCTCCGAGTGAATCAAGACATCATCAATGAAGTCAGCAGTCACCTCTAGCATATCACAAAGAACTTTGTCCATCATCCGCTGGAAAGTTGCTGGAGCATTGTTCAAACCAAACAGCATCACCAAAAATTCATATAAACCAAATGGTGTACAAAAAGCAATTTTAGGAATATCTTCTTCGGCCATCGATACTTGCCAGTATCTAGAAGCAAGATCTAGTTTGGTGAACCAACGACTTTGCCCCAGACAATCCAAGAGATCAGCAGTGTGAGGAAGAGGGTACACATCCGGGATCGTTATTTTTTTTAACGGACGATAGTCGATGCAGAAACGAATACTCCCATCGGGCTTCATCACAAGATGAGGTTCACATGCCCAAGGACTCCGTGACTTCTGAATAACACCCTTCTCCAACATCTCCTTGACGTTTGCACGTAAAATCTTGATCTCCTTGGGTGACCGACAACGAATAGGAATCTTGATTGGACAAGCATCTCCGGTGGGAATCGGATGACGTATGGCAATCTTGGCCCCATATGATAGGTCAAATTCAAAGAGATCAGAATACTCCTTGATGAGCCGGTCAACAGCTGCAACACAAAGATTATCAGAGGGATCGGAAAAGGGAAGAGTAAAACAAGATGGAAACACAGGAGGAAATAGTGGGGGAACAAAAGTAACGGAACTAGAGGTAAAAGTAGAGGGACAAAGAAGTACAGAAGTGAGAGGAATGGATGAAATATAAGGAAGTATGAGACAAAGGGGAGAAGCCTCAAAGTCACACTTGGCATGATTGCGCTGCAACAAATCTATACTAAGAATGAGGTCAAAAACTTGACTCGGCACCACCCGCAACGACTGCAACTCAAGCTTGAGATCGCCCACATGCACAACTAGGTCCACCTCATCTCGTGCACATGCATGTGTACGGCCGTTGCCATAAAGAATGAAAACTGGATCCACCGCACAACGCAAGTGTAGACGACCTTGTGTGGCAACAGGTCGAGCAATAGAAAATAAACTCGAACCTATATCAACCAACACGAAGAGAATAATAGGAGACCTCTTGTTATAAAAACGAGCTTGGAAAGTAAACACTGGATGAACCGGTGCCGAGTGAACCCCTTGATGATACTCCCGAAAGAAAAATGGAGGGGTCACTAACTTATTTGCGTAAGATCCCTTCGTTACTCACGCACCTCCTCGTTTCTCAGGTGCACCTCGGTGTCCAAACCTTCCACCGCAGCAGCACCAATGGGACGTTGCTGACGCCAAGGTCTCCACCCAAGAAATGGAGGTCGCCAATTCGGAAAGTGCCGACAACGCCGATAAGTATGACCAACTTCATCACACGCCTAGCAATGAACATCACGGCCACGACCACGTCCTCGCCCTTGTCCTTGGACTCGAGTAGCAACAGCATCAACCTCCATTAGAATATGACCATCACTCATAGGAAGTGGAGCTGAAGGACATGCAACGAGAAGTGGAAGAAGCGACGTCTCATAATATTGTGCCAAGTGAAGAGCATCGTCAAGGGTGGTGGGAGCAAGTGCATGCACAAGTCTGACAAGATCTTGACGAAGTGCTAGCCACAACATTTCTAGCTTGATCCACTCTAACATATTAGGCTTTGCATGAAGCAAAAGACTTCGAAAACGAACGCCAAATTGCATCACCAACTTAGATGGCCCTTGGTGAAGACGATGCAATTGCTAGAAGGCATCATCACAATCGTTGACATGTTCGAAGGCGCGTTTGAAGACGTCCAGAAGAACACTCAAATCCCCACGAGTGGCTGCGCTCAATCCATTGTACCATTGCAATGTCGTCCCTTGGAGACACGTGGGGAACTCACGCAAACGTCGAGCATCATCCCAAGAATGATATGTGGCAATCACCGTAAAGTGATCGAACCAATGGTACACATCATCCCTAGGATTCCCACGAAAAAACTCTGGCTAAACGTGAGGATTGGCACCAAGAGCAGGAGAAGTTGGACCACATGCTGTGAATGCTGCCATCAATTGAGTTTGGTTGGTTAATTGCAAGTGTATAGCATCAAGCAATTGAACCAACTGCTGCTCTAAAGTCAAAGGAGGAAATTGTTGATCTGCCATAAAGATGAACGAAAAAGAAAGAGCAAAAGAAGAGAAATGACAAAAAACTGGAAGGAAATGGTAAATCTAGACAATGCAAAAAGCTAGATCTAAACCAAAATCCTGAAAGGAAAGAACAAAAGAAAGGAAATGGAAAAAGCTAAATCTAGATGATGCAAAAGTTACATCTAAACTGAAATCCTAAATCCAAGCACTCCCCAGGGACAATCAAAAGTGCCCCTCACCTCCACCAATGTGAGTGCATGAAATATGGAAAGGGAATACAGAAATGTGCATATCAATTAACCCAAAAACCCTAGGTTATATACATGAGCGAGTGGTTCAAATTGAAACCAATCTAACAGCTACCAAAATCCCACTACGCTAATATTAATATACAGTATCGTAGCTGTACACTTGGCTCTCACAAGGTGTGACTGAAATATTTGTTTTATTTCCATATGAGTTAACCTATAACTAAAGTAATTGACTATAATGTGTTTGACATTATTCATTGAATTTGAGGATTTGATAGTGTTATGAATTTATTTAAAATGAAAGGTAAAGATTGTAAAATTTTATAATGTTTATAGAAAAATACAACTATATTTTTGGTTATCATTGTTAAATGTGAATTAAAAAATTAAATAATATAAAAATGTTTTATAAGAATTTATGTAGACTTTCATAAAATTGATAAAAATAAGGATTAATATATATAAATGTAGATTATATTGTGGTGATATTTAATAATTTATGAATAATAAAAAAATTATTTTCTATTATTTATCATTAAAGATAAGGTTTTAAAAATAGTATGTTTAATTTTACAAGAAAATACCATTTATATGTTCAAGATTTATAGTTAAAATTTTAGAGAATTATAATTACTCAAAACCTTTGTTATGTTGAAGTTTAATAAACTCTAAAATAAATAAACAGAAATTTGATTTATTTTACTATTTACATAAGCAATAATAACTTTTGCATTCTCCAATTAATCATATCCAAAAGTTCCCAAATTTTGCCACCTAGCCTAGCATGACACTTAAGTATGTTAAGCATCTTCTCCCCTTCAAAAAATATAATAACAGTCTTGTGCGTATAAAGTGGTTTTGTCTATAGCCACAAGTTTTAGCTATGGCGGACGAGGAGGTCCAGCACGTTTTCGTCTACGGCAACCTCCGCCCCGATGCCGGAGGCCCGCAACGCCTCCGACTAGGCAGCAGCAGCCGCGGCGAGGCGGCCTGGCTCCTCGGCGGTCGATTGTTCTGTGTCAATTCACGAGGAAGAGGAGCCTCTTCCATCAGGCAAGCTGCGGTAAGCCTGGACGAGCCTGGAAATGCCGTCAAAGGATACGTAGTGTCTGCTAGCGACCCCAGTGATCTCTCTAGCTTGCTCCACCACTGTGACAGCTCCGAGGAGCACCAAGGATTCGACCGTGATGTTGTGGAAGTCGTGACGGAAGCTGGAAAGCGAGTAGCTGCGTTTGTCTATCACTGCCCCCAGGTGGATCGTTCTATGCCTGTCCATGGTGGAGACTGGATGAGCTATCCCAGAAATCTGTAAGACCCCTATGGTTTGTCCTTGGACGAAATAAGACCGTGACAGGGACGCTGTTGCAGTTTGTAACAGTTTTCCTGTGAGTCTCGAGACTGTGAATTCATAGCAGGGCGAGTCAGTCCCAGATGATTGGAACCTCTTTCCTTGCGTCAACGATGTTCGCAATGGCGTAGTCTGCTCCTTCACACTTGGTGACATTGCCAACCTGAGGTAACGCTCGAGATAAGTCGAGAGCCAGATATCTCGAGCCAGAATGAAAGGAAAGAAGTTTTCTTACCAGCACAGTATGAAGACCCACAGCTTTTCCTGCTGCAATGTTTCGCGGGGAATCATCAAAGAATAGCTGCATGGTTTCACAGAGACATTAGAAGGCGCAGTGAGCTATGAAATGACTTACAGCTCGTTTAGCGTCCACGTTGATGATCTCAACAGCTCGTTTCATAGCCTCTGGCGATGGCTTGCAGATAATCGCGGCCACCGTGTTGTTTGCTTCGGGTTTACAGACCACAGCCACGCTGGTCGAGCTTTCGACCATTTTCAAGCTCTGCCTCCCAACGCGCTTATCTTTGCCTGTTGCTTTCTTTATCATATCCGTCCCCTCGTGACCCATGATTGTTTCAAAACATATGACGGTGTCAAAACAGTCTTCTAAGCCCATTCGGTGTAGAGCTTTAGACGCATGATTCTTGTCCGCGTTAGTGAAGACCTGTAACGAAGGACATGAAACGAATAACCAGATTTTTAAAAGCTCACATATTTGCGTTGCGGCATGCTCAGAAGCATCTCTCGTAACTCGGGATTTGGCTTCAAAAGATCATAAGGTAGCCTGCCGTGTACGTAACTGCATATGAAATACACCGTGTAAAACTATGTTGGAAACAAAAAGGATTCTCACTTGTGAAAGTCATCGTAATCAAAGTTATAGCCTGTTGCCTGGTAAAAGTCCTGTCATGAGGTAAATTTCAAGCTTACAATACAGTACCCTTAGTCCAGCCATTGTAGTTCCATGGCATCTGTACAAAGTCTGGCCCAAATCAGTTGCAATACTCTTATCAATGCCAAGTTTATCCACCATGTATTCTGGAACGAAAATGAAGGCAATAGCGTCAGGAAGGAGAATGAAGTATTTTGAACTCGTATGGTAAAAAATCTACCAGACTAGAAAACATTCTTGGCTTGACGCTCGACACGAAATCTGGCATCATGGCACGCTCAATGAGACGTAGCAGAGCCTACTAAAGCACCATACCTTCGATATTTTGCCTGCATGCTTCTGCGATACCGAGGCTGAAAGGATACAAAGTATCATCCAGATCTGTAAGCAGCCATGCCTGTTAAGTCGAATCCAAGGAATTGTAGTAATTGTAAAACAGCATACCAAAAAGAAGGCAATCAAAATGCGTGTGCTTCTTTTCGTTCCCCATCGAGAAGTACTGCTTCTGCAGTGCGGAGACGGAAATATAAAGTGTTAACGCTTCCACAAATCTTCCATGAAAGTTCTTGTTCTTCCTTCTTCTGTCAAGTCTGCCAGCCTTCTAGATGAGGTTGAAAAGGCACATCATGCCAGCTGAAACGACGCGTCCCTTGGCGAAGGAAGAAAAATAAAAAAGCGTACCTATGTACGTCAGGCTGAAAACTTCGACTACGCACTATGCCCGTTCCGGGCATCACACTCTGCACCTAGAAAGGTCATCACGAAGAATAAATCAAGAACCAAAGTATACCTTCGTGAGCTTCAATCATTTCAGCCACATTTTTCTGGACCAGCTCGCAAATGCTTCCTAGAGGAAGGATTGAGAATGGCTCTTCGATTATCACTCCTACCTGGCGAAGAACCGTCTAAGGAAAAGTTAAGAGCGTAGAAATCCATACCTCGTCGATGCAAAAGAGTGCAGTGGCGCTAAATCCCGTGGCCGGAATGGTGAGCCAGTGGTAGAAATCCCACAGCGCCAGCGCCAGCGTGAGGTGCCAGATGATGAGCATCCTGGAAGTGAGGTGCGAGTAAGATGGCGGAATTGGAGTTCGTAGAATGCGTGCACAGGCGCCAAGATTGTCGTGGAGCTGCGTGATATTGAGATCCTGCAACCAGGGAGTATGAACCCATTGATCATAAAAAAGAAAGAACTTGCTTACCATGATCGCCTTGTTGTGAGCGCTCATCCCCTGGCAAGCTCCAGTCGTCTCGGCGATCCTCAGCAGCACAAGAATTGGTCGATGCGTCGCAGCTAAAACAAACGCTAGATCTTCCCCATCGAGCACGCCCTTGAGCTCCTCCTGGAGAGCCTTGTCAGTGTCGATGTGGAAGCAATGGAAACGTGGCATTGACCACCATTGACCATTACGTTGACCAATGGTTGACCCCAAAGCCCTGTTACAATGTAGCTATCGCCGATCAATGATGAAGCACAGGGACTAGCGCGCAAGATCTCTACACCTGTTCACGTTCGATCCAAACGCTTTCCTGCCCTCGTTGTAGCGGCTGTAGGAAGAATTTGTGCGGAAGACGAGGAGCAGCGCCAGCGCGGGCGCCGTGAGCTGGAATGGAATCGGCGAGATGTGGAGGAGCGAGGAATAGGAAAATATTCCGGAGATCACCGCCTGGTTGTAGGCCGAGATTGCCGAGGATCGCTGGCGATTACTCGCGACGAGGCGATCGCGCGGATGACGGCGGCTGCTCCTGTGCCGGATCCAGTCCTCCCGGCTGACGGAACTGCCTTCTCTTGATCGGCTTTGGAGGCCCGGACGAAGAGATTCCGTCCCTGATTCATGAAGAAAGAGGGCCGATGTGGAGGATTGGAGGCGACGCGAGAGCACACAGCGCGATCTGCCAAGCATTCTTCTTCATACATCCAAACTGCCCCCAACAGAAAGTTAGGGTTAGGGTTCTAGCGAGGTTTAGATTGCCGCCATGGCGAAGCCAGCGCACAAGAAGAAGGATGGCGCTTCTTCTTCTTCTGCGGCATTGAAGCCGAGAAATGCAGCTGGCAAGAAGAAGCGCGGCGATTCAGGGAAGAGCAAGGGATTTGGCGAGAAGAACAAGGGCAGCAAGGTCGCGATTGCAAAATCAGGGCATTTTCAGAAGAAGCGTAGCGGTGGAGGGGATCAATCACGAACACCGCAAGAGTGAGTACGCTGCTAACTTCGTTCTGTTTCATTAGAAGAGTTCTTTTTTCCAGAAAGAAGCGAAAACTATCGTTTAAGAAAGACGAGGGGGTAAACGAAGACGCTGCAAAGCCTTCGGACATTCACAAGAAATTCGACAAGAAGAAACCTGTGGATCGCAAAGCTAAGAAGGTTTTCTTCCTTCTATACATGTTTCAATGTATTTATCTTATCTTGATAGGAGCTTCTGGAGTCCCGGAAAAGGAAGCGAAAACCAAATTTCGACATTGAAAAGGTGATCCATTGTAGTAAACAATGCGAAACGAATTAAATGTTGGGCGTGCATTCAGGACGTTGTCTCGCTATGGGAGAAAATGAGGCAGAGAAACATAAAGGCCGAAGATCGATCAAGGTATAATAAAGTTTCGAGGTAGCTTGGAGTGTGCTGAAAAAATTATCTCTGTTTTGTCAGGATTGTGTCAGAAACATTGGCGAAGATGAAAGGGAAAATGGTGCAAATGGCCATGTCTCATAGTTGCTCGCGTGTTTTGCAAGTGAGTAGATTGTTTGAAAATTTTCTGTACCTGGTGATTGTGTGATTGCGTTTTGCAGTCTTGTGTCAAACATTCTCAAGAGGCACAAAAAAACGAGGTTTTTCAAGAGCTCAGGCCCAGCTTCCTAGATTTGTGTTTGAACACTTACGCTTGTCACCTTGCACTGAGAATGATTGACAATGGTGAGTACTTTCATCAACGGTGTTTTGTTCCAACTATGTCGATTTGCAGCTAAAAAGGATCAGCTTCAACAACTTCTTTCAATTCTGCATGGGAATGTTGTGCGTCTTCTTAGGCATCCGACTGGCTCAGCTGGTACGTGCTTCAGGAACATACTCTAGTGAAATAATAGACTGGGACTTTGTAGTTGTCGAGCATGCCTATCACGCTGCCAGTGGTTCTCAAAAACAGGAGCTTGTATCGGAATTTTTTTCTCCCGAGTTCCGCTTGTTTAGAAACATTACCAAAGGAAGGTAAGAGAACAATTTTCATAGTGTGGAACTATAAACTTTCAATATGCAGGATCAAGGAGATACTTTCCGATGAACCGGCTGCCAAACGTAAAACGGTTCTGGAACACATGACACTAAGTATTCAACCGATACTAGAGAAAGGAATAGTCGACCACTCAATTATTCACCGAGTACTTGTCGAATATTTGAGTATAGCTCCAATGGTAACAACTTTCTTCTTTTTTGTTCATGCTTATGACGATTTTGTTCAGAGTATGGTTGGTAATATTGTTGACCAACTTTCGGGACCTCTTCTCGTGCGTATGCTCCACACAGCAGATGGTGCGAAACTTGGTGTTCTGTGTGTGCGCCATGGATCTGCAAAAGTACGTGTAGCTTGGTTCCTTTTTCTTTGTATAATCTGTTGACTGGTAAATCACGTGCACAGCAAAGGAAGAAGATTATTAAAGCGTTGAAGGGTCAAGTCTTAAAGGTTGCTCGCGACGATCATGGTTATGCTGTAAGTTTTTCTCGTTATTATCCGCCGTACGTCCTTGACAGGCTCCATCGGCAGGTCCTTCTGAGTGTAATTGACGTTGTTGACGATACTGAACTTGTGACCAAGGCAAGTGTGTAAGTTGTGAAGTTTTTTCACGCCTTGAATTTCTGTGGGTGCAGGTTATCATGTCAGAATTGGCAACAGAAATCAGGGAGTTAAGTGTGAACAAGGTAGGCTTCATCTTAAAATTTCTTGTGGGATATTTGTCGTTCGCAAAAGTATGGCCAGCGATTAATTCTACATCTTCTCACACCAAATATACCGAGATATTTTCCTGCGGAGCTGCTGAAGACACTCAAGTCTCCAGTCGAGTTTAGTAAGTCCATTTAACTCATTTTGATGACGTTGTGTGATGAGGTGGTTGCATGTGCAGTTTCAAGTTCGAAAACGACAGCCGATGCTTGCGAAAAAGGAGATGATGAATGCGGGGACGTAAACGATGGTGACGACAATACGGAGAGTGCGCGCATTAGCAAAAAGGATCCATTCTTACGAAGAACCGAGCTGCTTTCGAAAAGTGGATTTGCGCAGGTACTTTCTCTTTTAGAGCTGAGGGCTTGCAGTGTATCTCAGTTTGCTCTTGGCTTTCGGCTTGTGTAGAAGCTAGTGGAAGCATGTGCGACCAACGCAGGGGAGCTGTTACGATCGCCTCTCGGGAAGGACGTCATCTACGAGGTAAGCTTTTGAAGTCATCGATTTCTTTTGAGTATATGTGCTTGGTGCAGGTAGCACGCGGTGGCGTTGACGGAATAATGTTGAAAGCTACGCCGGAAGGAATATCATCAGTGCATAAAGCAATAGCGGACCTAGCTGCATTACCAAAAGACAAGAAAACAGAAGAGGAACACGTGCTGGAGCACTACCATGCTAGCCGCACGATCCGGAGGCTGGTTCTGGACAGCAGCTGTCATAAGTTGGATGGGAGCTCGGAGTCTTTTGCGCAAATGCTGTGGAGCCTCGCACTGCAAGGGAGGTGCACAACATGGGCGCGAGGTCACAGGTATTTGGATTGGACCTTTTGGTTGGAATCGATTTTGAATTTTGAGTTTGACCTGATCGACGCTGTTTGATTCTCTCTGGCAGTGCAAAAGTGGTAGCGGCCTTTAGAGACAGCGAAGACCCAGCCGTGCGGCGAGTTGCAAAATCCGAAATTAACTCGCTCGTCGATAGTGGAGTTCTGGAGGGCCGAAAGGCTAAAGCAACCTCGGCGGACGCAGCTAGAAAGTAAAACACGAGGTAACACTTCGCATCTAGTTCTTTCAAAGCGAGCACTCAGTGCAGTGGTTCGAACTTACCCATTGGCAGTCGTACATTGTCCCGCAATAGCAGCCATGATTTGTGAGAGATCTTTTTTCGAGCCAGTTGACGAACGCGAAGCGGGAACACACTGGGCCCTGGGTGTTGCTAACGAGCGAGCGGAGGTGCATGCACGTCGTATCTGTGCAAGGAGGAGCCGTCCAAAAGCTGAGGCCCCACGAGAAATCATATCCAATCTGCACGAGGCACCGTGTGTAACTGAGGGGGGCGGCTGGAGGGGAGCAGTACGATGCTCACACTTAACTCCCTGCGGTACAAGGCCCGGCTGATGGAGCGTCGGGTCCAAGTAAGTGATCCTTTTGCTGCGATTTGTCATTTTGGTAGGCCTTTCATCTCATCACATCTCTTTCAGGCCCAAGGGGAAAGAAGAAGAACATCTCATCTCGGTGGTTACATTGGCACCGCCCCGCACACTTGCCAATTCAGTCCAGATTGCAATCAAAGGCTGGGGCTGCTACTACTGGCTGTGCTGGAGTGATTTAAGAGCAGCCAACCAGTCAAGCCAAGCTGAAAGAGGAAAAAGGTGAGGGAGATTCCCCCAGGAATTCCAGCACAGGCAAAAAGCAAGCGAGCAGCACTGTTTTGATGCGGACGCTGCTCACTCGCCCAGAGGAGCCCATCACTACTGTAGCAAGGGTAGCAGCAGTGCAATAATGCATGTTTGCTGTTGGTGCTGGTGACCAGTGAGCACTGTGGCCAGGCAAGGACAGTAGTAGCCACACCTCCATGATGCATGCTTTGCCAATTATGAGGGCAATCTAGTGCATGTGTCAGGGGGAGGGGAGATTGCTTCAGACAGCAGGTGCAGTGCAGAATGCAAAAAGCAGATTTCAGAATTCAGAAGGTGGCTGGCTAGCTGGTTTTGATGTTTAAAAGTATACATACGGTTCTTTAGAATACATAAATTTATGTAATCATGCAATGCTCCAGTGAAGATCCACCTCTTGAGAGGTGGAACAGTGACCTTGCCTCTTGCCTCTTTCTCAGTCCAGCTTGTGTGGCTGCAAGGGCTCCCCTTGCCGCCATCACTTTCAACATCTCATTCACTTCTATTCCAATCACTCCTTGTTTAAAAACCATGTCCACAAAAAGAAAGGATGCACAAAACAGGAACAACAGCAACAGCAGCAAGTAGCTCTGAACACAAAAATACTCAATCAATAATGGCACCCATACATTCTTTCAAGAATAGAAAAAAATTGGAGAAATTAAAAAAGAAAAGGGTTGATTGAGATCCTGCTGTCTGCTTGCTTTGCTTTGCTCTAATCTTGCTTGCAAGACATGAGCCATTATGGTTGCTGGCCTTGTTTGTCTACACACACAACATATCTCACCTGTATACAATGAAGACTCAGAAAAAAAAGAACCGAAGGACACTTCCAGCATGGGGTGTGTGTGTATGCAGGGCTTCACAACTGTTTTTCCTTTTAGCTCATTCACACTCCCACTCCAGATTGGCATTTGCAGTTGCAGAAGTTGCCATGCCTAGTCAAAATTGCAACTATAACACAATATCCCAGGTGGAGACTCATGCCAAGAAAAATGTACAGAAAAGCCAAAGGGCTTGCTCTTCACTGTTCATCTCCTCCAACCAGCCAAGATGACCATTGATATGATCTTCCCTGGCACCTTCTTCCTCTAAAAATTCTCTCTTCCTGGATCCCTGTACACTAACATAGACACAAGCTTGAGGCTGTAGACTCTAGCTCTAGACTCTCCTTTTTCTTGAACACCAAAAGTTGTGTCAGAAGTTTCACACGGGTTGCAAGAGAGAAGGTGTAGGCCTGGACTGTGCAAATCTGGCCATGGTGGTGGCTGCTGTGCTTTGGAAGTTCGTTGACAATGGCTTGCTTGGAACCTTGGTTGTGGTATTGCCGGTGTTGTTGCCGTTGTCCATGGACGACGCCAGTCTCTCGCAGGAGGGACACATGGTGAGCGTGGTGGCGGGGAGAGGCATGTAAAAGTCGTGAGTGATGACACAAGGTGGAGAGATTTTGAGGGCTCGAAGCTCCTGGAGCTCCTTCTGAAGCCTCCGGTTCTCCTCGCTCAGCCCCTCGCAGTACTTCTTGAGAAGCTCGCAATCCACCTCGGTCTGCTTGAGCTTGGTCCTGCCCGAGTGAAAACGAATGTAAGACGAAGATCTAGCGATCAAGAAGAAACCAAAAGCCTACCTTGCTCTCCGGTTTTGGAACCAAACTTCCACTTGTCTGGGCCTGAGGTTGAGCTGCTTCGCCAGTGCGTTCTTTTGTTTCTGGAAGCAAAACAAGAAATATCATCAGTTTTCGTGATCCCGATCGAAAAGATGCAGACTCTTACCGGATTGAGAGTGCTGTGCTCGCGGAAGCTATCCTCGAGCAGCGCTGATTGCTCCTTGGACAGCCTCAACTTCTTGCGGGTTCCCCCTTCCTCCTCGTCGCTGGCGGCGCGGGAAGAAGTCATTTGCTCCGCCTCGTCCGCCTCCCTCTCCCGCTTGGTTTGCTGATGGTTCGCCACCCTCGCCGCCGCCGACGACGAGGCCGGCTCCGCGGCCGCCATGAGTTGAAACGACGTAGACACACCACCACCACCACCAGCTTGATCCTCGTTCTCGCCCGAGCAAGGCACCCGGTTCATGTCCAGGCCTTTGCAATTAAGAGGAGCCTCTGTCCCTGCAAGCACAGTTCCAAAGAAACTTGGTATCATGACCGGATCGAGGAGTTTGTTCAAAGCCATCAATCACAGAGACCAGGAAAGTCAAGAACTAAGAGAGCCATCTAGAGACCCAAGATGAGTATACCATTTGAATCGATAGAGTCGCTTCTCGACTTGGTGAAGAGGGATTGCCACAAGAGGCCGGCGTTTTGCTTGTTGGCCACGGGGCGGGGGAGGAGATCCATGGTGGATCCTCGCCTCTCCCCCTCCGCGTCCTCCACATCGGGCGCTGGCCTCATGGGGAGGTAGCCATTTTGCTGCTGCTGCGATTGGACGCTTATGCTCAGATCTATGCTCAATCCCAAGCTTGGATGATCCGGCTTCATTGCTCCACACGCTCCAAGCTTTGGATCAAATCGGGGCTAAGACACGCCCGACGCGATCGCTCAAATCTAGATGAAAGATTCGAGCACCAAAATCTGTCTAGAAGAGGGACTGATCAAGAGCGGGAAGAGCGTGCTGCGTATAAGAGAAAGGAATGAAAGCCCTCCTCTCTCTCTCTCACCCTCTCTCTCCCCCGTGGCTTTGCTAATATACATCGGCATACATGGATGAGTAGTGATGACCACCACCATAGCTAGCCCGTCACCAGCACGTCGCCGTGACGGGCGGGATTCATAAAAAGTCTTGTCGCGCGTGTGGGGACCGTCATACGAGCGCGTCCGGTGTACGTGCGGACCCAAAAGAAAAAGAAAATAAAGGAAGGAAAATGTTGGTGATTATTCGTGATGATGGTGGAGTCGAATATTTCCAAACTGGTTAAGAATTTTGATATATAATTATCTTACATCTAGATTGTTCCTTTGAGATCACACCACCACCACCATCAACAACAACAACATCCAACAACAATCGCTAAATGTGGAGAGCATCAATCCAATCCAGCCTTGAAAATCTGATCAGTGATCAAATTCTTGCAGGGCCCCACGTTTTTCTTTTTTTTTTCTTGACGTGTGAGGAGTTAACTTCATATTAATCTTTCAATTCATATATCAAAGTCCTGAGTGATGCCATTGTCGGTTGGTTGATTAGATCCCCTGGAGATTGATAATTAGGCACACTATTAATTGACGAAATTCTCATCAATCTAACCAACCTAGGAAAGAGACTCCATGCTTATAATCTATCATAGGACAGGATAATCTTACCAGTAAAAGCACTGCCCCTTGCTTGCATGAGCATGAACCCAGTATGACGTCCAAAGGACTCCACAAAAGTCGTGATTGGTAGAAAACCATGGCTCTCGCTCGTTGGCGGGTTTATAATAAATAATTCTTCCGTAAATTAGAAAAATGAAACATTTCCTGGATTTTCCACCAGGCAAGTTGCAATGCATTTGGCCTCTCTCAAGTAAGGATGATTGGTGCACTAAAGGAACTATGAAGGGTCCCCTTGTCACCTTTTATGTGAGGTGACAAATATGATGCCACACTTGCCAGCACCTAACCTTCTCCACATTTCAAGCCACAGTTTTGGTGTGTGGGGCAAACTAGTCTCACATCTCCCCCCTCTCCTTTTGATCCTGGAGTCAGGGCAAAATAAAAAACAAACTTGGAAACTTCTCTGGGCTTCACCTATATATATACAAGTGCGAAAATCTGAAGTGTTTGCGAATAGAAGGGAATAGAGAAACATATCATGGAGTGAAGTTGACCTATGAGTTTAATGATTGTTGCAGCATCTCACTCATGATGATAGGGGACCTTGGACAATGCTTGGCCGAGTAAGAAGGAGAAAATCAAGGAATTACAAAACCCTCTATCTAAATCTTTTGCTGCTTGGAGCCAAAGGGAGTGAGGCAAAAGCAGTGATAAAAAAGATAGGGACAATACCTTCCCTGCATGGATCCATCACCACCTTAGGCATCATCAAGTCCATCCATCCTTGCTGACGTGGCGGACTTGATTGAGGTTTGTTGGGACGTCCAATAATTTCTACATTGTCGTTGTCCACAATTATCCACACCGTAAAAGGCATGGTAATAGTAGCGATAACAATAGGAATACGGTTGTCCTTTCAAGAGCGCCACCACCAGATCACCACCACAGCGCCACCACCACCGCCCTCGAGCCACTGTTCCATTATAATTGATTGATGGGAAAAGGTGGCGGTGGTGGCCAACTGGCGGCGGACCCTCCCGATAAAGTCAAACACATGATTCCATTGCTAAACTTAACGATTCCACGTGTTTTAGCTATGGCCGGGTCAAGAATGGGGCCATCGCCAATCATTCTTCCCCGTCTAGGAGCGGATATCCCGTGAGAATTTTGCGTTTAAAAACATGGTGGCGGGAATATCCGCTGCTATCGCACACGTGCATGAGGTTGACGTTGCGGTCAACCTTGTTTTGCATTTTGTTTGCGCGAAAAAAAGGAATCTTGTTATTGCGCGGTGGAATCCGGCGATCCATGATAGCAAATTGGGGTCGATCCGCGTCCCACGTGTAGCAAACTAAGCTTGTTTTATAAACACCAAGTGATCGATCGAGAGATTTGTCAATCAATCAGCGAGGAAGCGCTTGGTGCTCGGCACTGCTCTTTGACTCGAATCGAGTGACACGAAAGTATAAGGTGTTTAATAAGAACTCAATTGATTGATTGACTCTGGGAGGGGCTTTCCGGGATGCTTGGGAAAGTGTTTGTGGTGCTCACTACCACTTTGTCTTTGCTTACTGTCAGATCAAAGTGTTTTGCGGGATCGCAAAGTCATCGAGGAAAAGCATCGTGCTCTGTGTGAACGAGAAAAAATCTATAGCGACTGTCCAGTGCTTTTCAAAATGCTCACACGACCAACAGTGATGAAAGCAAGAAAAAAAAAACAAAAGAGGAGACAATCTCGAGTTCCATTCCCATTGCCACATTCTCTAAACTCAAAGGAAAGTATTTGGGCGCCGCGGCGTACAGCGTAGCGTGCCCACGGCGGGCAGCAGGACAGCAGGGGGGCAGCACAATCATTGACGCGGGCAGCATATGTCGGCTACAGCCCCGACAGGCCGACGTGCGCCGACGATACGCAGGGGATCCGATTCGATCGCAACCGTCAGCCGGGTACATCATCATGGCCGTCTGATATTGTCGGCCATGATGCATGCATGGCCATCGGCATGATTAATTCCAGAGAAAAAAAAGGTTTAAAGTTTTGACGGTTAGGATCCATCCAAGCCGGAGTTTTTTTCCTCCACGCCATTCCATAGAGTTTCTTTTGGACAACACAACGGAAGGACAAT